AACCCTAGCTTAATTTTTGAGGGTGGGCCTAATATAAGCCCTACCCCCAAAATAAGCCCTAGTTTTGGGGCGAGGCACACACCTAAAAATCAAGCTAGGGTGGGAGTGGAGTGTATGGAGCTGCCCCACGTGCCTTGCACCCGCTTATCTTGCAGCCAGGTCTCTCCTCTCAGGCCCACTTCTTCTGTGGCATCCCCAGGCCTGCATTTGGCAATCAGGTTTTTCCGGAAGGCCACTGCAGCTGAGAACCGAGTTATGGATTCAATCCATAGCTTGGTTCTGCAAGGCCTCTGCAGCTGAGAATCAGCTACGAATTGAACCCATAGCTCGGTTCTCAGCTGCAGTGGTATTCTGGATCATATAGATCCATGTACCTTGTATAGCTCTATGTAACCCTAACTAGGGAGCAAGGGTCAGGGGGAGGAGCTTCCAAAGGGCATCCCTGGACACTAGCCTCTGGGTAGTCCTTTGTTCTTTGGGCATCACATGCAGCCACACGGCTGGAAATCCCACAATCACCCCACCATGTGACGCTTGGGAGAAGAGGGGAAAATCCAACATAAATTTACCTATGGAAATGAACAAAAAGATGTAAGCCAGGAACAACCTCGTGGACCCAGGTATTTCTTCTGGAATAAAACGTTTATCTGTTTAAAAATCATTTCTATCGAGTGGTCTGTCTGCCTCGGATGAAACACCCAGCTGGTGTTCTATCTGGGTCAGAATAGTAAATTTATGTGGTTAATTCTCCTCTGATCTCATGCACCAGTAAATTTGGATGGGATTAATCTTCCTCTGATCTGCATTTTAAAGAAGCAAGCAAAACTCTCTTGCATGTGAAAGTAACTTGACGTGACTAAAGGTGTGATTCGGATGCATTGTATTGTTAATTTGCTGGTAAAGTCTGCAAGCCAGTATTTTAAAACAGCAACAAAGCTCTTTGCGTGTGAAGGCTGCATTTCTGAAATCAATCTCTTTGCCAGCAACTTCAAACAGCTTGGGGCAATGCGAGGAGTGTTTTAGAAAACTGCCTGTAAAGCTATTTCCGTTTGCAAAAGAACTGTTTAAACTGCCTCTAAAGTTCAGGTAGAGGCTTGGAAGGGGCGACACCCCCCCCTTGTTATACACTCTTCACTGCTTGAAAGATTGAAGCCTGTCTCCCACCCTGTCTAATGCAAATCAATGATTTGAAACTTGAGTGTTTAAAGTCTTTATGTCTAAAGAGTAACAAAGTAACAACACGTCTGCTTCTTCTTCATGAGTTTGCTAGCTAAGAAGGTAGCAGAGAGGGGCCCCTTCCAGGCCATAAAACTGCCTTTATTGCCAGAGCTTAGCAACCAGGTTGTCAAGGAGGGCTATTAAGCTCATCATAAAACCTCAACACTGGCGAAAGGTGCTAAACTCCCCCCTCCCTTTGGAATTTCAACTATGCCAATGGAAAGAAGGTATACAGAGGCCCCAATAGCAGGGCAGTAGCGCCCCCTGGTGGCCAATCTGCACATGACACCTTGAAAAAAATTTTCTCACATCACAACAACTTCATACTTTAATTCTGCACATAGCAGGCACACCCTAATAGGGCTTTCACCCACTCAAGCTGAAGACCCAAGTTCTTCCAGTTTGAGAGACTAAGAAGGAGACAGCAGAGCAAACAATCCTTGCCTATTATCACAAGCTGAAGACCCAGTGTTCCAGCCTGCAACTTAATGACCAGGTGGGAGTTTATGCCTCTCAGTGGCCACTAGCAGGAACGTGGTAATAGGAAGAATTTGGCTGACCTCTCTTCAGACGTCCCCTAGTGGTTAAAGGAGGAGCTACACGCGAGCCTTTAATCACGCCCAGAGAAAGCCCTCTAGTGGACAAAGGGTGTACCTCAAAAGAAGAGCACCCCGGTAGCTGATACGCAGAAAGTGAGCCCTAGTGGTGAACAAGTGAATTACGCTGAAATACCCCAAGCACAGGAGAACGCACCCAGCGGCACCTCCACCCACAGACAGCACCTCTGAAGCTGTTCTGCAAGCAGCGACCCCTAGTGGTCAAAAATAGAAGTTCATCTAATTTGCTTCTAAATAGCTAAGAAGCACAGGAGGACGCTCTCAGGCACCTCCACCCACAGACGGCACCTCTGAAGCTGATCTGCAAGTAGCGACCCCTAGTGGTCAAAGAAAGAAGTTCTTCAAATTTGCTTCAAAATAGCTGAGAAGAACACTGAACCTATTTATTTATTTATTTTATTTTTATTTATTATATTTTTACCCCGCCCTTCTCCTTGCGGACTCAGGGCGGCTAACAGCCTAATAAAAACAAATACAAAAGTACAAAAATACTACCGTTAAAACGTAATTAAAAGGAAATATTAATTTGGCCTTTGTTATTTTAAAAATTGTTTTAAAACCCAACTAAAAATACCCCTTAGGCCAGTCCTGCCAGCTTA